CATTTCACAATTTTCATAATGACATTTACAAAATTCTGTGGTTTAGAAAATTCGACATACATAAATCCAAATACTGAAATTTTCAATTGCCAGAAATTGAAATGATGGAAATCCAAATTCCGTCATTTTAGAATTCTATGTAATTTTCACTTCCTTCATCCAAACGGAGGGTAAAGTTTCATCAAGTTCTATAAAATCTAGCAACAAAATCTTTTTAAACGCTCTAGAATCCTAATTGAATACATCCCCTAATTTTATCATTCTTAATAAATACTACACCCAGTTTGGTTTATTTATAGCAACTCCACCCATTTGCCCTTAGCCATGGCAAGGGGGGAGTTAGGGCAGCCACTATTCACGTGAATAGTGGTTGCCCTTGCAAATAGTATTTTTGTGTTTCCACCTGTTGCTATGGCTAAGGGCAATTACTATTTATTTTTCTGTTTTATTCACAAATTTTTTTACCTCAATAATTAATTTGGATAATATTTTCGGATAAGATTTCCAGGTTCCTACGTGTCAAGACTATTCATAATTGGATAAAATTTCCGGATAAAATTTTTGGGTTCAAATTTCGGATAAATTTCAAAATTCAAATTTCAGATAAATTTTGGGGTTCAAATTTCGGATGAATTTCAAAATTCAAATTTCAGATAAATTTGGGTTCAAATTTCGGATGAATTTCAAATTTCAAATAAGATTTTCATCCAATCAAATCAAGCCATGTGGCATCACTATCTTGCCAAAATTTTCTATAAAACCAGAGGTTCAGCTCATACCTCTCACACCACATCTTTCTATATTTTCATTTCTTAGAGTTTAGAATTCATACTCCATTCATTCTCAATGGAAGAATATAGGAGATGCTTGGAGAGGCAAGAGCGAGAAAGAAATGAGAGAAACCGTAGAGCCGATGAAATCAATGAGTTGCAGAGACAAGTCGATGAACAAGTTCTCATAGCAGTGGCAATGGAAGAGGAAGAGAACCAAGGTCGCCGCCGTGGTTCACAAGTCGGCCGTTGCCGGAATATGGACAGACATAGGCATTCTCGGGGTAATAATCTTTTGGAAGATTATTTATCCCAACTGCTTTGTACTCTTATGTTGATTTTCAAAGGCGATTTAGAATGCAACCCCATTTGTTCAATAAAGTCATGCATGATATTTGCAATTATGATGCATACTTTGTTCAAAAGTGTGATGCGGCTGGGGTTTTGAGGCTTCTTCCGGAGCAAAAGCTTAGCTGTTATATGAATGTTGGCGTATGGAGCATCTACTGATCAGGTGGATAAGATTGCCCGAATGGGGAAGTCCACTACGTTGGAGGCTTTGGTAAGATTTTGTGATGTAGTTGAAAATCTGTACACTAGGGACTACCTGCGTAGACCTACTCCCAGGGACCTCCAACAGCTTCTACAAAAACCCGAAACTCAAGAATTTTCAGGAATGATTGGTAGCATCGATTGCATGCACTGGCAATGGAAGAATTGCCCAACTGCCTTGCAAGGTGATTACGGAAATAGAAAAGGCCAAAAAAGTATCATCCTTGAAGCCGTTGCTGGCTTCGACACATGGGTTTGGCATGCTTTCTTCGGAGTTGCCGGATCCCAAAATGACCTCAACGTACTAGGTCAATCTCCGGTCTTCAACGTTGTTTTGAGAGGCCAAGACCCCAATATCACCTATCAAGTCAACAATACAGTCTACCAGACGGGGTATTATCTAGTTGGCGGCATCTACCCAAGGTGGACCACATTTGTCAAATCCATTCTGAATCCCCGATCCCAGAAGCAAAAATTATTTGCTACCTATCAAGAAGGATACATGAAAGATGTCAAAAGGTGTTTTGGCATCCTTCAAGCTCGGTGGTTAATTATTCGAGATACGGCCCGTACGTTTGATGAGGAGATCCTCATAAGTATTATGATGACTTGCATCATCCTCCATAATATGATTGTGGAGGATGAGTACGATTATGATGCTGTAGAGGTTTACGAACCGGATCCAATGAACACGCCCTTCACCCAGATTTATGAAAGGCCCATGGGGCCAAATGGAGAACCGTTTGAGCCGGAACCGTTGGTGAGGGGCAGTCGTTTCATGACCTGGATGATAGATCGATATACAGAGATGCAATCTTCATATATTTATGAAAGACGTCAACTTGACTTGATGGAGCATCTATGGGTGGTGAAAGGCAATGAAGATGAATGAGGGAGCATAGATGCTTTGGTTATGTTTTATTTAGTTATAGTTTGGTTGTGTTGTTTTTTATTTATTATGGTTTGGTTGTGGTTTGTTATTATTATTATGCCTTGTTTGTAGTTTTTTATTTATTTTAATTATGTTTTGTTTGATGTATGGAATATGTTGAATAAAAAGGTCTTTTATTGAATGCTTTGTTTATTAAATAAAGAAATCCAATACAAGTCATTAAGAATTACTACTACTAAAATAAAATACATGAAGTACAACAACTTTAATAGAAAACATGAAAAATAAAAATACACAAAAGGTATGCCAACTAATTTAATGGTTTTGATCATTTAACCAATCCGTGTTGCTAGGCCCATCATCCTGGAAAAGTCTTCTTCTCATAACATCCCTTCGTTCTAACTTCCAATATTGTTTTGTTTCAGGGGACATATGACTTGTATCCATCGCCATGGTTTCCCGATCTGTCTTCTCCATATATTTTTTGCTCAAATACTCATTTTCTCGTGCACACTCGGCTTGAATTGCCACCTCCATATCTTGGCGTTTCTGCTCCATTTCAATTCTTATGGCATTCTGCCTTGCAATTTCCTCCAAAAACTTTGAATTATTATTGCTTGAATTATCCGCTTTCTTTGCCTTTGCAGCCTTTCGCCCAATGGGTCTCAGCTCCTTTTCGATGGGTGAGTCTTCACTCATAGGGGAATCGAGAGGTGAATCCAATGTCGTTGAATTACGGAGTGGCGTCTCGTTTAACACAACGGCGGGACCCGTGGGAATAATTATTAAGCGTTTACAATATTTCACCACCTCCCAACATTCATGGTGGTTGAAATTTTTTTTGCCACCCCCGGTTGCACCGAACCACATCTGTGCTTGAATGAGCTATTTAACAAAAAAATGGAAATAGTAACAAAAAAAAATAAAAAATGGAAATGCAATTAACCTTACAAATAAATTGGAAGTGCAAGAAATATGAAGAAATAATTGGAAATGCAAGAAATATTAACAACATATTGAAAATGTAAGAAATATTAACAAAATATTTAAAATGCAAGAAATATTAACAAAATATTGAAAATGCAATAAATATTAACAACATATATATATTAGGACATTAAACTTAATAAAACAAAAATTACAAAATACTTACCTCGTTAGTACGATTTTCCCTGCTTTTATAGTTGTCCATCGTTTTTGCCAAGGCAGCTCTCCATTTTTCCAACTCTTTGTTGAGAATTTTCCACCTGCTCGACAATGCCATTTACGTACGAGTAGACCCTAGAATTTTTTCGCAAAATTCGGTATGAATTTTTTTTCCACATATGGAAAAATTTCATCTCATTGCCTGTCACGGGACAATGACAAACTTGAAGCCAAGCCTAACACAAAGAAACATCTTCCATGGTGCTCCACGCCCCTCCGGTTTCGATAGAAGAAGCCATAAAAATAATGGTATAAAAATACAAGGTGAAAGAGAGGAAAATGTTGAGTAATAGTAGAAGTAGAATAAAATGTATGAGGATTGGTGTTGAAATTGATAGGTACTTATAGGTAGACCTGGCAATATTGCATACGACCCGTTAACACGATACGAATTCGCACGAAATTATCAGTATTTGGGTTGAGCATAATGGGATGGGTTGAAAACGGGTGAACCCGTTAGCTACCCGTTAAGCTAACGGGTTGGGTTGGGTCAATTCGCGAATATTCGCATCCACCCGTTAAGGAGGGTAATTTGGTAGTTTTGCAAAATATTTTTTCTTTTCTTTTCTTCTTCCCCTTTTCCTCTTTAGCTTCCTTCTTTCCGTGTCTGTTTCTTCTTTCTTTTTTGTCTTTTTCCTCTTTACCCTCTTCCTTTTCTTCTTCCTCCCGTTCTTCTCTTCTTCTCTTCTTCTTTGCTTCTCTGCTTCTTTGCTCTTTTTTTGTCAAGATTCTCTTATGCTCTTCTTCTCTCCACTCAATAGACTCTGGCAACCCATCCATCACGGATCAAGAAGGAGGTTGTTGGTTTTGGTTCTCTCAGTCAATTTTGAATTTTCTTTCTTCCTTAGTTTATGTAGTTGTTGAGTTTTTAATATATCTGTGTGAGAGAGATATACTATTTTGGGGTGAGAAGACTGAAATAAAGAGAGAAAGAGGGAAGAAAAATTAGGGTTGGGGTTTGGGGGAAAAAAGACAGAGAAGGTGTGTGGGGTAGAGAAG